AGTAAAGTGAGTAATTGTGACAGAAACGTATCCCCCGGCACTAAGACACTCTTCGTGCGTAGATGTCGGACCGTATACATGATGTCGCAGAGGTGCAAAGTTCCCTTACGGCACGCAGAGGAGGACTACACACCTCACCGGTCCTATCGACATCGCGAGTGTAAGACACTACAGTATCTCGCATAGTTTAGACTAGTCAGCATAGGTCTACAACGTCTGGGAAAAATCTCTAAACCCATACCTCCTTTATCTCTCCCATAACAAAAACTGTGAACCCCTAAGGGGACCTTGTGGACCCCTCTGTGTAAATTAGCATATGCGTGCTCTGCATACGTGTTCACGTATAACCGTACTATCCGAGTGGTATACAAAAAACGACATACAGATCCATTAAATGTACGTCGTCTAACGAACTTCGAGAACAGAATTTCGATAGGGTCCCTCTGTGAGTATGGATCTGGTTAGTATTGGGTGTTAGATAGATAAAAGGCCTCCTTGTAACTGGCTACGCGACAGCGCGACGATTGCGGAACTTCAACCGGATCGCAATAAAGCGTACACACAAAAACAAGATTATGGTAAAGTATAGAGGACACAGATCATGATGACAGTCTTATTCAAACTCTGCCCGGGAAAACTTGTATAAGAGGGGGTCTATTGTAGTTTCGACCGAACTATGTGCTCACAAATGACCAACAAAACCCTAACCTTAGACAACATACTCTAAGTGTCTTTCGAAAAAAAAACGTCGAAGAAGAAAGTTGCAGACAGAACGAAATATGCTGTACCCTTTATGTAACCGAGGTAAACGTACGTAGGACACATTCACACAGTTTTCTGGAAAATAGCTAATATATAAAACATACACGGAGTCGGAGACTGAAACATCTCGTCACTTTCCTCGAAAGAGGTAACACATTAACAAGGACGGTGGACTCACTCCTTATCATTGAAACTCAGTTATCTCCACCTCACAAATCCTTACCGAGTTATAGGAAAAGTGCCTTCCGTCTAATACAGGATAAGGGACCCGTTCCGCACACTCCTAACAAAGCTGAAAGTCATGAGAACGCAGTGTAGGTCCTACACTTTTCTTCTTTCCCCCTTCCATCGTCAACCTCGATCGTAAGACCTACATATTCGCGTCCACCGATTCAAATTACGGACACTAACCATTTTCAAATTTCGTCTTATTTCCGACAGTTCAAGCCGCTCAATAAAATGTCGGAAGTCGATGGGGAAGCAAGTGTGGGTCGAAGAAAAGGTGTCGGAAAACGACCAAATTATGCCAGACTACTGTCTGCCGACAGTACGGTATGTCGGTTGACAGTACCTTCATGGACGTATACCCCTCACTGGGACGCAGATGATCCACCGTCCAAATTTAATTATAGTCCTCGTAAAGACAGGGGATAAAGATTCCGGGTGCTTCCCATCCTCCAAGATAAAAGTCCTATGGTCTTATGTGAACTTCTACTTATTTTTATTCTACTATCCTACCTAATAATTGGGCTGTAATAATAATGGCCAGTAAGTCTGGTTGCATTCGAGGCCAATTCGAGGCACGATCTCGCTAAAAAGTCCAGTCTTGCCGCCAAGAAGCATCGAGGTCACCGAGAAAGGGACGGGTCTCAGGCTTGCACCACCCAGTGCAAACCAGACTGCATTGCGCAACGAACCAGAAGTATTTCGTTTGCGACGTGCGCTGTGGAGGTGTCGACTGTACTGTTGTTGTTTGTACCGGCTAACGCGAGTCGAAGAGACATGGATCGGAGAAGTCTCTGTCAGGCGTCATCCATCCGACCAGAGAGTCACCTGGCTCGACCGACGAACATTACGACGGGTAGAACACATTTTGGACCTATTTTGCTCGCGAAAAACAAACAACATAGTCCTCACAAGCTCCAACTACGGCCCACGAACTTCTTCGACCTAATGGCCTCGATTCTCCCGACGAGGCAGACGCCCACACCTTCTCTTTTGGCCACGAAAAGTTCGAGGTGAGGCTTCGCCGCCGTTGACTTATGTGTGCACCACACTTACTTCCATATATAATCTAGTTTCGCTTCTCTAAAAGAAAAAATTAAAACTGTTCGCCGACATGCGTACTAGTAGCGGTTGATTCCTCAAACTCAAGAGAAAAGACACAAATTTACATAGTAGTATTTGTAAACAAAACTACTAAAATGAAACGACCCTATTAACTATCTGCATTGCCACAGACCCACACAAACTAAACTACTGCTGACACCCCTGTACTGACACGATTGTGTTCCTTATTACCCCAAAGACAAACCCAGATTCTCCAGGAGTTCCAAATATGACTAACATTTTCATTCAGACCCTGTTAAGTACTTCGAATCGACGTATCCAACTCTCCCGTTCTAGTATAGTGAACTCTATATAAACGCTATAGCCATCGCTAATTCCGTCCTCAGTTTCGTTTTTTTATTCCGTCAATCGATTAACATTTTTCCAGACCCTTGACCCTAATTAGCCCAACAATAGTTACCATCGATTTTATAACTGTTAGCTCCGTAAATACTGGCAGTATTTGAGATATAACAAATACATTCGGAACAGAGGACATCCCAATAGATCCGTTGGGTCTACAAACACACAAAAACACCAATAAGAGGGGTATATTCTCTCGTGTTTACTACCCCAATCCCAATAATAAACCGTTCAGAATACGGTCGTGGGGGGTTTCGGTGCACACCGCTCATCGGTTGTACCCTGTCGTAGTCAACAACGAAGGATAGTTCTCGTTCTCTCCAATTAGTCGGAGGTTGTCGTCTCGTCCTCTTACAGACGAGATGACATCGCAAGTGATTATTTAATTCGACGACATCAATTACATTTTGTGATACGAGGACACACTGTACATAGGTGTTACACCACGACAATCGACACGATATCTTACGTCTGATATATAATGAGAGGGACAATTGTGGACGCGGCCAAATGCCTGATCAAGTAGAGTTCCCAGTGTAAAATCGGGATGGCAGACACTTAACTGAGGAGACGGGTTTTACCTAAAGGGAGGACTCTGCGAGCAAAGGACCGGAAGAATAGGTTGACTTACTTACAGTGGGTACTAAGTGAACATCAACGACGTGTGCGTAAATTAAGCAAAAAGTATGGGCTTTGTAGCTGTGACATAGCTCGATCATGATCTTGAATGTCTTTCTTACTTAATTTCAGAATGCATGATCTGTTTGGTATTTTGAAAAATAAAAAGTATAAATATGCCTGATATAGGTATTGTCCTACACTATGTTATTCAAATATAGCATGATAGGTCCACTTTAAGTTTACAACACAGTCACAGAAGTTTCGGTCTTATTAACCTAATTTTACATTACATTACATGTCACTTGTTAGACGCTTTTATCCAAAGCGACTTATATACTCAATACTGTGGGCAATCACCACAGGAGTAATTTGGGGTGAAGTGTCTTGCCCAGGGACACAACGACATGCTGATTGCATTGGGGTTTGAACCTGCGCCACACGCCTCCGTTTTGCCTATCTCTGACTATTTGGCCTCCAACCGTATCCACAGCCTTTTATTAAGTTGCATTAAAATCAGGCCAGTAGTTTTTCTGTTATTCTACTGAAAAACTAACTAGAAAAACAACCCCTGAAATGTCTCATTGCAAAGAGAAAAACCAGGTCCGACTGGCACTATCAAATTCATTTCATTTTTGGTTGAAACGGAATGTTTATTCTTATTTAAAACTTTATTAAAAACAAAACGCAGCAAGAGCAACAGTGTTGTTTAGCCTCTCCTTGCAATTTTTTTTTAGCTGATTTCACTTGCTAACTTCAATTATTTCCTAGACAAAGAATATCTGTGGAACACAAACATTAATTTCCTTTCTGTCTTTCCCTACAAGTTGTTGAGGAAAGTCAGATGGTGTCTAAATTATATTTGAAGCTGAACACAATGAGCAACACTTAAGTTGAGAGCAGCAACAAATACCAATTTCCTTCCAATCATTATCTCTCTACTGCAATATTAGCAAGAGCCTGCAAGCAATAAATCACTCATGGATTTAATTAGATGAACTTGATTTAACTGATCCCTCACCTTTCAAATGCAACCCACACAAAATCAGCTACTTCTGCCATATCCTTTTTTAAATGTTATTGACATTTCTACACAAAAAGTGGCTCCACAATGTTGGATACAAACCAGTAACATAAAGTAAAGGCTGTAAAACAACAGCTGAGAACCACAGGGGGAGTGCAGAGATAAGTAACAAAAGAACACACACCTTAACAGAGGGATACAGCATAGCCCTCTGGCATCTTCACAATTAAGCCATGCTGCTAAAAATGTCATTATCACTTGGGAGAAAAAAACAGGATAGAAAATTCTGTAACGCATAAATTATTTACCCTACTTAAAATTCTCTGCACCAAAGCATATGTCAACGTTGCAGCTGATGAGCTGTTTTTTTCTCAGTCAGGTAAAAGCAGATATTTCTCCTTAAAGGTTAGCTTCTTTATTAGACAATGCACTGCGGCCAAAAACATGATGTACTCATTACAGAGCTGCTGGAGTTTCAGATTAAATGAATATAAAATGAACAGATGAGAGGAGACATCTAAGCAAAGTGAATGAAAGAGAGGCAGGGGATGAACACAAAGCTGGGTTATTGTGTTTAGCCATTTTCTTACAGGTTTACCTATTGCCACATCTAATTATTTGTAATAACTGCAACGTTTTAACACATTAACTAGCATCATTTCACATGCCTTAGATGCTGGTTATATTCCAGCAACACTCTTTTGTTTTATACTGTACTTGCACTGTATATTCTTGACTTATCAATTATGAAATATGGTGCTGATAGTGACAGCTGCACAGGTGTTTTTATAGACCTTTTTGCTGTAGGAGGAAGAATGCATCTTTCAGAGGGGTTTAGTTTGCAAGACAATAACATAAATAAAGGAATAACAGTATAAATGTACCTGCAGGTCATGGCGGCAGTTTGGCAAGGCAGCTAGAAGTCCATAAATGGGCCTTCATTTCCATTTAATGTACCCTCAAAATTATATTTTTAGTTCTTACTTTCTGTAGTCTGGAAAAGTTTCACTTGTTTCATTGTTGTTCATCATAGATGAGATATCCAACACTTAAAGAGACTCATCCATTATTTTGGTTTTCATATACATAATTTAAAATGGTGGTTTTAGAAAAACTCAACTAGATGTTATCATGCAGCAATGGAAATATGAGACAAATACACAGCGACAGGAAGAGCTGTAGAATATGTTGCTCAGTTAAAGTAACGTTTCTGGAGTAATAATGTATTTCATAAAAAGTAAGTCTGTTAAAAGTATCTTTGATTATATACTAGTGAGACTGATACACACTATAGGAAGTATATGGTAATAATGCATTATGTAAACTATAGGGTTAAATAATTAAAAGGACCCCATAATCATTAAATGTCATTCTGCAACACAGTGATTCCCAACAGAATGTAGGTGTAGCCTTTTCAACAGGAAAAACAGCACAAAACCTAACAAAAAACAGTAGTGCATTCCTGTGATGCATCTTTTTCAATTGACCAATGTTGCCGGCATCTTAACATGTGCAAATGTGACATGAGTGAAACATTGATCCATCAACAATGACAAACTGCCTTGCTCAGTGTATTGTACTAGTATAAGTACTGGAGCAAAGTTCAAAACTCAGACAGTTGCAGATAAATAACCTCAAATGAATTAAAGAGATGGACACTTTGACTGGTGCACCACGCAATGCTTGACTGCATAAATTAAGTAGCCTGACACTTTTACAACTCAATAAAGCACCATGGCAGACAACTAAGGAGAGGCAGAGATAATATACACTGTACAGTAGCCCACAAACACGCATTAAAACACACACACACACACACACACACACACACACACACACACACACACACACACACACACACACACACACACACACACACACACACACACACCGTATTGGTCAAGTCAGCATTTAAAATGAGATTTTATCTCAATGCTTTTGTATCTGGTTAAATAAAGGTTAAATAAAAAAATTCAAATAATGTGGTCATGTTGGATAGATGAGTCAACAAAATAATTGGCTTAAACAAAGGAAACCCATTCTTTGTTTTAGACTGACTAACAATGTTGGAATTCTTTAAGCTTGACAACAAGAAACCTTTTAAGAGGTTTGAAAAATAAAACTTTTTCAAAAGACAGAAAAGGTGACCTCACCAACTCCAATATTCTCTGAGCCCTGTCCTGATGCCAACTATTCTTCCAGCAGAATATGATGGTCGATGGTGCCAAACTAAAACATTAAATAACATATATCCCCATCCTAAAATAATTGAAAATTATAAAAAAGAAAGACAATAAAGTAAGTAGTATAATTGGTTGGATAGATAGCTTATTAATCTTAAATCCTGCACAAATCATTACCATTATTATGTCCTCATCTTCGTTTTTCTTTGACTCAAACCACTCAGTTGATGACCAAACAGAGCATAAAATGTTCTCCATGTTAAACAGTCTGTGTGGCCTCTTAAGTGACACACAAACAAACACAGAACAAGCTTCACTAACCATGAAAGGACTGTATGGGTGGGTGCAGAGAAGAGAGTCTATTGGAGGTCCTTGATATGAAACATCAGAATATAAAGCAATCCATGCGAAAAATATAATGCCGCCTTCATCTAAAGTACACACTTATATCAGAAGTGTACTTACTATAAAGCGTTTGAACCCTCTTTGTGACCGATACAAGTGAAAATAATTGTGTAACCTTTTAGCTATGCTCAGATTGAACCCATTAACTTGGCATGTAATGGTGTAAAGACCTTTTGGCTAATTAGTATATTCAGAATATTGTGTATTGGATACTGTCAAATGCTCTTCAGCATCCATAAGTACCAGATGAGGGAGTATGGCGAAACAAAGAGGACATAAAGCAGGAAAATCAGTAATCTGTCTTTAAGGATAAGCGGTCAAAAACATTCAGATAAGTCTTATTCAAATTATTACAACTACAGGAACACAGATGCCACAGGTACAAAGCAGGGTTGCAAGGATAAAAGGGTGATTGGTGAAATACTGCAGGACTACAGGAAATGGAAAGCAACCCTTTATGTGGACGCTGGTGATTTCATCAGAGCTGAGCGAAAGGCTAGGGAGCAGCTGCGAGTTAAACGAGTGAGAAAGGTACAGACAAACACACACAGATACACAAGTGCCTGTTTGCGTGTGCACACTCACACACATACAGCATATTCACTCATGCTGTGGCACATTGCCAAAAGGGAATAAGCTCCAAATTCCATCTGGTACAGTGAAAGCTGATCCTGTTTTCAGTGAGCGGCTGGTGCTGGCTGCAGGCCTGCTGGGGCCGAATGCAGACCCTCTATTCACACTCTGTTGACCTCCATCAGCTGGAGCGCAAATGCTTTTTAGACTCTGAACTACGCCACAAGCCTTTTGTATTCAATACTGCTTTAGCTCCTTAGGCCAGTTTTACTTCTACTCTGCTAAATGTATTATTCTTCCAAATAATTCTACCCGTGCCAATGCAGTGAATGTACAGTAAGGACTTGCGTGTAGCATGTATAGGTTTACCCCGCGGTAGTAAATAATTAAATCAATTGTTTTCTTTAGCAATAAAGTGTAAAAAGAATATGCTTAGTCAGCCACTGGAGGGGCGTGTCAATGTCTGTGTTTGATTGACAGAAGCTGGCAGGCTGAGCACCAGCAGGGGAATAAGAGACAAGTAAACAACAACAACAACTGCCAGCTAACAAGCAATGGGCAGACAGTGTGTGTGTTGTAGTGTAAGGGCTACACCGGCCTCTAAACTGATTTCAGTGGCTTCACAAGTAATGAATTGGGTGCGAGTATCTGTTGGAGTCTGCTGTTTAAAGTTATTTTAATTGGTAGGATTTCTGGGTTCATCCATAAGGAGAGGGTCAGACTGTCTACCATAGCCTGCTTCCATTGTGACATAGACAATTGAAAAAACAAATGAATGGATGGATGATATAATAACTAATTGACTTTTAAAATAACCATTATATTGTTGCACCAATAAGCAAACCTGAAGGGCCAATATGGATGCTTTCCATGTCAATTAACTCCAACAACAAAGCAAACTAGCCTCATTAATTATTTGCACAACAAGACCTTTCTGTCACAGTCTCATCAAACTGGACATTATAAGCACCCGTAATAAGCTCAGGGCTGATGTATACATTCATTAAAACAATGTCATTTGCTCGACACACTTTCTATTTCCTGCTGTTTGC